TAAAATTGAAGAAGAGCTACTGAAGGTAAATAGTAGATATGAATTCATGTGATCCATAAATTTAAAATATGCATAAAATATTTGTACAATACTGGTTTAGAAACAAACAATCATATCTATTATCACTTATATTCAGATAAGTACCATAACTTAAGCATATCTATGTCTGAGAAGTTAGATCTGTTGGATTATATCAGCTCTTTTTGAAAAGTATATTTAATGTTTATATGTTTTGCTATTATTGGGATCAAAATGAGAGTTTTACCAATTAGGGTATGGAAAATGAAGTTCATCTTAAGATCAAGAACAGGTAAAACAGGTAAACTGAAAAGAATATTGTAAATATGGTTGGGTGAAGGTAAGTTGATATTTGAACTGTTCCACTTTTAGTTATTTTTGATTATTAAATCATGCTGCATACATTCTCCATCTACACTCAGTATCCTACAAATGCTCCTGTGTGATAGACATGGGTAAAATGAGTCCCTTATGCCTGCTTTACAGCCCATATATTCAGCAACTTAATTGATGTATTTAGTTTCTTTGGAATATCCTACTAAACTTCTCATTTTTGGAGAAGACTTTCAAAAATTAGTTCCTATATTTTTGGATAAAAGCACTATTTTTTTTTATTTTTTTTTTATTTCAGCATGTTATGGGGGTACAGATTATTAGGTTACGTATGATACCCTTACCCTCCCTCCCCCCCAAGTCCGAGCTTCAAGTGTATCCATTCCCCCGGAGAAAAGCACTATGTTTAATTCTGAAAAAATACAAGGTAATAATTTCAAAACATTATCTTAATTTTCCAGTAGACAGCAATGTTAACCATTGCTTTAAATGTTAGGCATGGGGTCATAAAATATTGCAGGAAAGGGATTTTAGAGATAATAGAGTCAAATTTTTAATCTTTTTTTTTTAAATCTTTACCTATTATTTTAATGGAGAGTTATACAATTCAACATTAGATTATATGCTTCATGAGGGCAAAGACCAAGTCTGTTTCCTTAATACTACATGTCTAGCATGTTGCATAGTGGCTCATAAACAATTGTTGAATGAATAAATGAAGATACTAAATGAAATTCCTTATATGTTGTTGGCACTGGGCTAGGAGCCCAAACATGTACTGCATGACCCTTGCTCTTAGGAACCTAACTTTCTCTGAGAGAAAAAATCACAGTTAAGTTGCTACAATATATGTGAAATTTAAGTGTAAGAATTTAAGCATTTTTGGTGATCTATGAGAGCACCAAGTTATGAACCGTTTCTTCTGGTTGGTGGGAGCTGGGAGTTGTAGACACTCAGGAAAGACTCTAAAGACAGGTGATATTTGGATTGGGACTTGAGGGCTGAGAAGGAGTTCATCAGGCAGACAAGGTGGGATGACCCGGACAGAGAGAAGAGCATTTGCAAAGGCAGGCAATTATTTTAAAAAGATGGCATATTTGGGTAAAAGGGGTGGAATGGTCTAGAGGCGGGAGCTACAATTGAGAAATCAAGCCTGGGCTAGGAAGAAAAGGGCCATTTACCCTCTTCATTCATTGGACTTTATTCTCTGGGCAGGTGTTCTCCTGCAAGGAGTTTGGATTGGAGTTGGAAGAGGCTGGATAATGCAGGAATATCAGTAAGGAAACTTCATACATTCATTCATTATCCAAACATTTTAAAATGCAATGTTTATGATATGCCAGGCACATCGACTGGGGAATGGGATTTAAAGATATATGCTGCTATCATCTAAGTAAAAGATGCTGGGAATTAGAAAAAGGACATTGGTTGAAAAGAGGAGAGAAAAAATAAAAGACATATCCTGAGATCACACGAGCAATCACACATGGAATCACTGAAAATGTAGAGGGGTTTAAGGATGAAACTAAAGTTTCTAGTCTGGGAAAATTTGTTGGATTGAGATCCATTAACTTTTAGTTATTACTATTTTATAGGAAACACAGAAAACAAGGAGACAGGTAGAAGCGGATAGCATAGGGAATGGAAGAACAGGAGAATCAATGAGCTTGGTTTTAGAATAGTTGCATTTGTGATTCTAATGCCACATGGGTTAGGAGATCAGAGGAGAGATCCAGACTAGAGATTTAGAGTCATCACTATCCACGTTGTCTCAAACACGGAGCATTTAGAAAACAAAAAAGAGAATTGGGCTAAGGTTAAAAACTTGGGCACACCAACATTTGAAGGGTGGGTAGAGGTTAAGAATTTAGGGGAAAAATAGGAAGAAGAAGAATGTAGACCAAACAG